ATTAATATTGGATATTTTGATTTATATTATTTTCACACTTTTCAAGAGATATATATTTTTTATTCATATTTTTTTGTGTTTGAGCTATACACTCTGTAAGAATGTATTGCTTGTTTTCACTTTATTTATTGTACATTAAAAATGTTTTGATGCATTTTAGTAGGAATCAATGATCTTAATGCACTTTAGTAGAAATTAATTATTTATCTAATATGCACTTTAAGAAGGATTGATGTTTGTACACGTATAGCTTTCTTAAATTGGTAGGGTTATGCACTTTTTCCTATATTCATAAGTGACTGCATTTTGAGTACAGCAGCTTCCTATTATTTTTTTTAGATAAGTTGACCATAGTGTGGAATCGCATTAATCCCAAAATATTTTTTTTGGCTGGAGTTCTAGTTCGAGTTGAAAACATTGTTCTATGGCATATACCATCTGAACAGAAGAGACTACAGGATGGGGCTGCTTTGGCTACAGAACTGAATGCTGCCCTCTGCTAATGGAAGTTCAGTGTCAGGGAGTAATGATAGGAGCAGTTGTTGGGCACTGAGCCATATCTCCCAATCTTTTTTAGAGTCTGAGAACATCCTTCATCGATTCAGCTGTGCACGCAATGCAGGAATTCTGCCTCTGAAAGACTCAGCAAATATGGAGTCTAGCTTGCATATTTATTTAGTTCTGATTGACACAATGGTAATCATTCATCATAATGCATAATTCACCTTAATTTCCTATGGTTTCTAAATTAATACATACTCTAATAATTTCTTCAATTTTCCATATTCATTAAAGTGATTTTGCATTTATTTGCTCACTCACATGCCTTGATTAATAGTATTTCAGGTGTAGACATGTTAGGCCCTAACATTTAAAATAATGATTAATTTCTTGCTACCACTATATTATTTGATCTAGATATTATAATTCTGACAGAGCCAACAAAAATAATTTGCATTATTTGCTTGAACGTCTAGGCATGACTTAATGTATTGCTTTGCATTCACAAATTCCCCACGTGCCAGCATTAGAATCATTTTTTTAAATCTGTGGAACCTTTTTAAATGGGCCCATTCACACCTGTGGGTGTATGCTTTGCTGCGCATAACGCATGCCTGCCTGTGTGTGATGTGTACCCGTGCTGCAATGCATTATAACAATGCATTGCAGTGGGGTTTTTTTTTGGAACTTTATTGAACATTAATAACAAATACTCTATTCAACTCTGCATGGCAACACATGATGATAACACACTCCAAATCCATACCAGACCCTTATCCAGGCATGCATCCTGGCTGTCCAGGAAAGGACCATACCGGGCCACATGCCCTCAAAATATACAGGTTACCATGTCTGGGGGTGGTGAAGTCTCCTTGCATCTTGTTCCCATGTTGAGGTGGGCAAGAGCTCATCCCCACATCCCAGGTCCTGTGGATATAGGTGTCATTGATGTAAATCCAGAGTCAATCAAGATGAGTGATGCCCCCGACGACCCACCACAATGACGATGGATGATGCCTGATTGCTACTCCCATTGCAGGTGACGGTTCCCAACCACCTGTTGAATGTAAACAAACTGGCTGGGTATGTTGGGTGACCTTATTGACCGAATATGGTAAGGTCATATTTGGTCAATGACGACACCCGGGATCCCTGACAGCTTGTTTACACTTTGAAACAAGCCATCCGGGAAGCTTTTTTTTAGTGGTGGAAGTAATAATGTCACTAAATAAATGACCAGACTGCATCAGCTGGAGGTTTGGGCAGGCAGACAAAATGGCAAAATCTTGACATTTTGTTCATCCATTTTCCAAACTGCAGACAGGCTAGGTTCAGATTAAACTTGGTCTACCCAAACCTAAAACTCATCCCTATTCTACTTTAATTAGGATCTAGCTCTAATTGTTTTTCTCAAGACTAGTTTACAATTTCAGTCTCCAATTAGAGAGCAGAAAAATTCAACTTCAACTTATTTACATTATGTCTACTCACGGTACATTCTGTGCAGTTTATAGCAGCATGTTTTATTTCAAATAATCTTTCTTCATTTTCTATATAGCTGTTTGCTTCTTTACTAGACTAATAAAGATGAAGATGACAGTTTAGTATTTTTTTTTTTTATTCTTGGAATTGGGTTTTAACAAGGAAAAGGGAAGCCTAATTTAAGGTTTTTAAGGAGAGGTCGGGCACATGACTTGACTCTCCCCCTGGCTTTTTTTAAAATGTTTATTCCATGTTTATTAATTTATAAAGCACATCATTCTTTTTCTTTTTTAAAGCAGAATTTTGGACATGGTAAGTCAATTCTGCTGCTTCATAACTGGGGCACTGTGTTCTGTACAACGTTTTTACTTGTTTTGTTGCACTTCACACTGGAAGATTAAAAAGTTTTTCAATATCTTTTGTGGCTCACAAAGTATACCATTGCCGGAGTAAAAACTTTTTTTCTCCCTGGTTCTGCAGTAAACTGTGTTGTGCTGGAGATTGTCAGGAATCGAAATGTTCTGTACATAATACTAGTGTGAAATGTTTCCTGAGATAATTCAGCAATGCACAGATCTTATCAGATAATTGTTTCCGCTTTTACATGGTTTGTAATGATGGTATCACAATCAAAGCCCTTTGTAAAAATAAATAAAGATCAAGATGAACAAAATTTATTATCTTTCTATAAGCCACTTCATTATTATTTGTGCTTTTGTCATTTTCTAAAGCTTACTGATTTATAGAGCCTTGAATGTCCAAAAGGTCTACACACATTGTAGTTCTCACACTAAACATTTAATGAAGGGTCATTGCCAATGTCCCTTAACCCATCTGATCTACTTGTGGACTTTCTGGTATGTCACTGGATTTGAGAGGCTGTGGAAATGACATTCAAATATGTGCAGTGTACATCACTGCTTCTAAACCAGGGTTCATTCTGAGGTTGCTAGAGGTTCCATGAACCGTGAGCAATGGCAAATTGATCTATACCCTACATTGACCACCAATGCATCAGAGCCAATTTTGCACTAACCACCAATGTAAGTGAACAGGTCTTCTCTGACCACTAGAGGACTCCACAATTTTTACTGATTGTCTTTCCTGTAGTTATTTTACTATTCATTTCATCTCAAGAATATTACTGAACATTACTTGGTAGGGGGTGATAAAAAAATGATTAGCTCTTGGTGTCAAATATGCTAGGTTCGCCATATTATTTATTCTCTTATTTAAAACTTACTTATTGATCATGCTAATGTACCTTGAACTGTAGATACTGTATAATATTTTTAGCAGGTGTTCCTCAAAAATTGAAAATGTTTTCAAGGGTTCCTTGGGCAGAACTCCAAACAAAACTTTTTCTTAACCCTTGCAGTGCGGCTACTTCTGCACTGCAAGGATTAAGTGCTCCTTTGTGTCTAGGTGCAAAAATAACAAAAATATACACACCTGATCCTCTAAGGTCCTGTGAGGGATCACGTCCAATACACTCTGTATAGGACGTGAGGACACTGAGGCACATGTAATCACTGCAGTGTAGGAGGAGACAGGCTGGGGGGAGCGCTGTAACAGGCGGCTGGCTCAGAGAATTGGGTGAGTATAACTTTGTTATTTTTGCACCTGAACAAAAATTAGCACTTAACCCTTGCAGTGTGGGGGTAGAACCACTGCAAGGGTTAAGACAAAGTTTGCCCAGAGTTCTTCTTTAAGAAAGGCTGGTATATAATATATAAAATTAAAAGCAAAACGTTGAAAACATGTAAATGTTAAGAAAAATTATTCTGCACTGACATTATTTATTTACAAGTATGAACACTGTCATTGACAAAGAAAATGGTGCCCAAGCATGGCATTATTGTCCCATTTACCTAAAGTTTAATTTTAGAGCGGACTTTCACATTGCTATTTTTTTTACTGTAGCATATTCTCATGAATGTATTTAATTTCAATCATTTGTGAATGTTGTGCTGTGGTCATCAGGGAACATGATTCCCCTTCACTTCCTGTCCTTTCAACACAACAAGAAGGTAGGGTAAAGAACTCTCTTCAAAGGAAAGGAAATCCTCACTTTGACTGTTGTCACTGCAACAAGCAAGGCTATTGGAAGACTTCCCCTTTATTCCTGTTATGATGGCAACTCAAATTTTGAATTGTCACTCACTTTCCACCCAGTGACATAGTTACAAGGTCAAACAGAGAGAAACCCCATTCCCCCTTAGCCACATGGTAAAATGCAGAGCTTTACCATGCGTCTAGTGTCCGTTATATGGACAGCGGGGAGCCACAGTTGGGTTGTTACAACGCAAGGTACTGTTTACTTTTTTTGTTTAAAAAAAAACTTTATTTGGAGTGTGCAAACTGCTCACTCCATTCAGGCCCCCGCACAGCAGCTTGGTGTGGTTTCCTGGTGGTGCGGTTTCCTACATTGCCATCCAAGTCTGTATTTTTTCACAGTGCACTGCACCACAGATCACACCTGTACTGCAGTGTGAACATGGCACATAGAAAACAATTGCATTCTGTGCAGAGAGCTGCATGTTTCTGCTGCAGAAAAAATGTAGCTCTTTACACAAGTGCAAACAGGCCCAGAGTGAAGCTTAAACAGACAGCAATGACAAAACATATGGGGTTTCTAATCTTTAGTCTTTCCACAAAAAAAAAAAAAGTTTGGACTTTAAAATGGCCAAAATTCAGTTTAGTGAATGTATAGTTACAGTGTTCAAATACTTCCTATTCATTTAAATTCAAATGTTTGCTAGCTGTAGCTCTTAGTCTCAGCTATTGTTTCTGGGGAAGGTGAATATATGAACAGACCTGTCCCGGAGAAATGACCTTTAGTTATTAGCATGCTTTACATGGCAGTCCCTGGTTGCTAGGTGATGGGCTGACGGCGACTTTGAGGTGTGTGTGTATGAGTAAGCAAAAATTGATACTGTGTGCTCACATGGAGCTGACACCAAATACGTTTCATTAAATATGTGTTCTGTCCTTTGTTTCTGCCTTTAAAAATACAGGCGTGCTGGAGGCGTAATGTTATACAAAAGTAACTTTCAGAAGACAATGGTCTAAAGAAGAGACAGAGCAAGCCTTCCATTAACAGGCTGAGCATGGCTTAGTGTGAGAAGCTGTACAAGACGCACCATGGCCCAGATTGTCAGTATCAGCAAGAGTCGGCCATCTATCAACCTGCAGGGGGTCGACCCGGAGACGTGTACTATAGTATTCAAGAACCACTGGGCTCAGGTAATGAAATAGCGGCCAAAATATGACAGGAACTATGGAAATATATATATGTGTGTGTGTGTAACATTATGACCACTGAGAGGTGAAGTTAATAACATTGATTATCTCATTACAATGGCACCTAGAAGTGGTGGTTATAAATTAGGCAGCAAGTAAACATTTTGTCACTGAAGTTGATGCATTGGAAGCAATGGGCAAGAGTAAGGATTTAAGTGACTTTGACAAGGGCCAAATTCTGATGGCTAGTCTACTGGGTCAGAGCAACTTCAAAACTGCAGCAATTGTGGGATGTTCCTCATCTGCAGTGGACAGGAGTTCAAGGTGTTGACTTGGCCTCCAACTTCTCCAGATCTCAAGCCAATCGAGCATCTGTGGGATGTGCTGGGAAAAAAAGTCTGATCCATGGAGGCCCCACCTCACCTTACAGGACTTAAAGGGTCTGGTACTGATGGCTTGCCAGATACCACAGCGTACCTTCAGAGGTCTAGTGTAGTCCATGCCTCCACGGATCAGGGCTCTTTTGGTGGCAAAACGGGACCTACTCAATATTAGGCGGGTGGTCATAACGCTATGGTTGATAAGTGTATATATATCTAAATAGAATAGTTTGGAAGTTTCCAGTGATGGTTTAGCAGCAGCTAATTTCAGTTTGTTTCTAAACACCAGTCAAAGAAGGAAGAACAAATGAATATCTATAACCAGGATGACCTGAGTATTTTGTTATATGCTTTCCGAAGCACAACACTCAACATGAAGAATCCCATTGTTTTCATTAATTTACACCTGAGCATTGTGTTACCTTTGCTTGTAGCGTGGAGCGTGAAAAAGTAATATGAGCTTTTTGGGGGCAGAAACACAAATTTTTGGTCCCTAAAGGGCCTGAAAAATGCCTGAAAAACAAATTTTTGCATGAATTTGTGCCTAACAACCATCTCTACCTTCTAGTAACTAGCTTTCTATTGGCTAAAACAAAACACTCGAGCATGAAATGCCTGAAAAACACAAACAAATGTGCAGAAACACAAAAAAAAGGTTCACAATTGCCTCAAAACACTCACGCTGAAGTGTGAATTTGGGCTTAGATGCCACTTGTTTGGTTATAGCTAAACACCGGCATAAACAAATATCGTCTAAATAAAAGAACCATGTGCATTCTTGAATTTTGGTGTGCATCTGTGCAGATCTGTGCAGTTGTCCAGAATTAAACTTTACCTCTGTGCAGGAACTTAATGTAATAAAGACTGGTCACTGCTACTTTCTCTCCATGGCCAGGGTGACTGGTCTTGTATCTGCCCCCTCCTGTAGCTGGATCCCTCGCACAGCTCTGCTCTCTGCACAGGTTGTGTACAGCACAGTGATGATGTCACTGCTACTATTATAAGGACATATTTGTTTTTTCACAGGGATTTGCTGTACGCATATATATTTATATCTAATGAGAGTTTGGTGCCCAGAGTTCAGCTTCATATGACAAAGGTGAACTTTTGAAAGGAAAATTTCTAAATAATGCATACATTAAATCTGCATTAAAACACAGATTTTCAATATCTATTCTGTGCTTTCTTTTATTTGATTTATCATTGCATTGCATTGCATTAGGGATCTTCATCAGCCCCCCTAACATGGTACTTTCCCTTTTTTTTGTAAATTTCTTCCTCGTTTTCTCTTTGAGGATTCACTGGTCGGGTGCCTTCCTTCAGTAGTTAATTTGTTAGATCTTCCTGGGATCACTTTTAAACATCCTTGACTTTTCTAGGTTGCCAGTGCTAATAAGTAATTAGAGGAATACGGAAAAAGCACTCCCTGGAACCTCAACAAGAAGTAGGGAATAAATAAAAAATAAATGAACTATGTCAGAAACACGGTTGGTGCCCAAAGGGTGCCATGAGAGAAGGTAAAACAGTCTGGGATGAACCCGTTTCCAGCACTACTTAGAAGAAGAGAGAGGTGATAAAATCAGCTTCTCTATACAGATTGAATAAAAAGAATAGTTAAAATGTTACCTTTTTATAGAAATAATAAATTGATCTCTTATTTTATAGATGTTATCAGGGAGTTGTAAAGTCCCAGCATATACTATAATGTTATAACATCAGCATTGTAATAGGAATACATACTAGAGTTTGATAATGCAATCAAAGCTTACTTGAAAAAAAAAAAATCGCTTTTTTTTGTAGTGAGTGCTGCCTTCTGTCCATTCTCAATTTCTCAAGACTACATATGCCATCATTCATTGCTTCCAGCAAGCAATAGTGATGTTATATTGTGGGAAGTTACGAGGTTGAGTTGTATTTTGGACTGCAGACTCAGTCAGGGCCGGTTCACACCATAAAGTCCGCGTTCCAGTGCGTTTAGCCTGCGGAACACACTGGAACGCAAGCCAGCCGCACCCCTGCATTCAGGGGCGGGAGGGAGTCCGCAGCCACGCCCCCCACCTGCAGTGCGATCGCCCTCACCCGGAACGCAGGCACATTAGGGGGGGGGCGTGGCTGCGGTCGAACGCACTAGAACGCAGACTTTATGGTGTGAACCGGCCCTCAAAGTGGTGACACAAGGAAGAGCAAATTCACAGGGCTGAGTAAAATTGTGTCACTGCATGGAGGAAGTACATTCTACGGACATCTTCAATAAGCAAGTTTACAAACTTCTAGATCTATATGGTTATTAGGAATAGGATAAAACTTCAGTAGAGAAATACATATTAATTTTTAGTTTCAGACGATAGATATTCTTTAAAGAGGAATGTTTACAAGTTTAAACTCCGTAGTAGGTTTTTATGAATTAGAACCACTTGGAAGCTTTGAATATATCCACAAAGAAACAACTCAGGATCTCAGGTCATATAGGAAGCACCACCTTAGAAGCCACAGCATCTAAGATAAGTTCAGTTATAGTGACACATTAAATTCCACTTGCCACTTAACATAAATTCCTTTCATGTTTCTTAATTCAGTCATTAGATTTTTCCAACTTTCCTGTAAGAGTTGAAAAGCCCTTAAATATTGTATATAAAGATAAGCTTTGGATAGTGAGGGGAAGGAATAGAAGCCATGTCAGGTTTTCACTGCTATCCGGGGCACTGGTAGAGAGATTTTCCATCACTTCCTGCCCTGGTGACAATAGTTTCACAAGGCAGGAAGTAGGGAAAATCTTTTTTTATTTAGGTAGGCGAAGGCTTGAACTCCCATCAATATTTTTTTTGCCTCTTTCACTGTTGCTGATTTTCCCTCAGTACTTTTCTGCAAACCATTGTAACTTTGATAGAAAGAAATGGAAAATCTCTCTAATAAAGAGCCAGATAACCCAGTAAAAACTCAGGTATTTAAGTAGTAGTAAACTCTCAAAGTTTTCAAATAATGAATCCAGATCATACTAATGTACATTACCCACCAAAGTATTTCTTTACATTTCTACCCAAGCAGTTAAAGTCATCATGTTTCCAAACAGCTCGAACTCTATCAGCTCCACTTTCCTGAACTTCCTGTCCAATACAAGATCACAAGGGAGAGCACAATCACCAGCAAATGTCAAGCTTCTAGCTTGAAGAAGGGAGAAGGAAGGAGGGGGCACAGGTCCGTGTCTTGCCTTGCTGTGCCTGTGTGTTTGTGGCGACACGCACAGCTTACTAGCACGTGCAAGGTGGCTGCATAGGACCCCGCAAGGGAAAGTTTAACAGGGCCAGTACTCAGGGGACCAGCTGATTCTGCAGAAAACTTTTATACAAGCAGGAGCAGCATCCATTGTAAGTCATTTATAGTCAGCGTTGGCAATAGCTGAAAAACCGTTGACTGTTTTCTGTATCACTTTTCTCACACTTTCCGAAACTAAAAAAATAAAATAAAATTGTCTGGACATACACTTTACATTGAAAAAAGACATCTGTTTCACTTTGACCATCGTTATTTTAGTACTCATATTGATGAAATGACTGACTGGAAACTTGTGAGTTTCATTAATAAACAGTGTATATGGTAAGAATATTACTAGATACATTCAGAACTAGACCCAAAACTCAGTAGGTTAGTTTTGAACTGGAAATGCACATTTGGAAATTATCATCAAATTCCACATTTGGAATGCAGAAAGATAAAACTAAGCTTAACCCCATGTTGATCAGCTAACCTGATCTTTATATTAGAGATCAATATTCCTTTACATTATGTTCTTTTGTTATGAAATGGGAAACCTTCTTTCTTGATCCATTGTTGGCAATCTGACAATTCAACTGCCCTACAAGTTGTTGTGTATTTAGGTGCATGGTATATTTCCTTTTCCATGGCAGCCAAGAAATAATTAAAAAGCATTACTGAAACAACGCAATCGTGATATTTGGCAGTTTTTAATGGATTGCTGAATAGAAATTGCCTGCAGACGCTGAAACAAACTTCACTGTGCAGTCTCTTAGGACATGTCTAAGGCATAAGATACAATAAAAGGAACATTAACAGGGAACAATATTGTGTCTGTGGGGGGAAATCTCAATTTATAATCTTGTAGCGGACAAGCTTTCATTTGACCACCGCTACTTGTTTTCAGATGTAATAATAGACTCGCATTTTCTGCCAGGCAGACTCTACCTGAAGTGATGCTATCGATTTAAAAATTGTTTGTAATGATCCGGCAGTGTAGTAATTAACCCCCAACCATAATGCACAGTCAGACGTTATCCCTCACACAGATTTTTAAACACCTTGGAAACTTTCTATGATCACTTGGTGATCTTTGCCCTGTAGATATGCATACAATACATTTAAGGGTCACCTATCAGGAAGTAACATTGCAGTGCTTACTGCATCTTTAAGATAAAGATATACAGATATACTATTCTTAACCTAGCCATACACTGTAGGAAATGTAGCTGGTTCTTGATAAACAGGACAAAATAAACACAGTGGGTGGCCCGGTCAGCACCCTTATGTTTGGCATCCTTCCATCAGAAAATCGAAGGATTCGGTCAGAAAATGTAAAGCTAACAGTTACAGTAGCTACCCGCCACTGTC